CCCCAAAGCCCCAGTAGATAGTTGTATGTCATAGTTGCACATCCTTCTAGTTGCTGTATGTGGGATGTGGCCTCAGCATGGTCAGAGAAGCGGTGTGTCGGTGTGCGCCCGGGATCCAAACCTGGGCCGCCAGTATCGGAGCGCGTGCACTTAACTGCTAAGCCACCGGGCCCGCCCTCTATGTAATAAATTGATTTTCAAAACCCTGGTGGATGGTCTGTAGTAGCAGTATTTTGTTGATTGGGTTGACTTTGGATAAGTCATTTAATTCCTTTGAGCCTTAGGAAAGGAATACATTTCCTAATACATTAGGAAAGTATAAGCTAGAGGTTATATTAGGCATGATTTTCCTTCAAAATCAATGGAATTGAGTTTTTCACTTGATTCACTTAAAATGGAGACTTTTAACTTTAGGATCCCAAGGACTCCCACGGATGGTTAGCTGTCACATCTTACAACTGTCAGCAAAAACTTGAATATGCATTTTCCTATGCTGAGGGCCCTCAGTTATTAAGTACATTGAGTATTTACTGTGTGTCAGGAAACAGGCTAAGAGTTTTATAGGCTCTCTGACTTAATCCTCATAACAACCCTATGAGGTTGGAGGTAGCTACAATTTTTACCTTATTTTACAGAAGAAGAAACAATCTTAAAATCTTTATAAGTAACTTTTCCAAAGTTGAACAACATCTGTCTGACCTGGCAAGAAATGGTGTTTAAACAACTCAGCAACAGCAACAAACAATAATAAATGATTATATACTGGGTATTGTTAAGAAGGCATATCTTTTTTTTTTGCTGGGAAAGATTCACCCTGAGCTAACATCTGTTGCAAATATTCTTTTTTTTTTTCACCCCCCTCCCCAAAGTCCCAGTACATAGTTGTATAGTCTAGATGTAACTCCTTCTAGTTCTAGGTGAGCCGCCACCACAGCATGGCTACTGACAGACGAGTGGTGTGGTTCCGCACCCAGGAACCCAACCCGGGGCCGCTGAAGTGGAGCAGGCCAAACTTAACCACTAGGCCATCAGGGCTGGCTCAACGCATAGTAATTTTTTATTAATGTATTCATTATAACACAATTCACAATAAATTTGGGGGCATTCTGTATGGAGTTGAGGTTTTAAGATTTTTCTTGTACATCTATTCAATTTCTATAGTTGTCCAAAAGGTTTTTATTTGAGGCAACATGGGACAGTAAAAATCTAATTAAACCCCCTTGTCTTTAATCTCTAACTCTATAGCCAGGGGCAGTTATTTGATATTTCTTGGGTCTCAATTAATACCTATTGTTAGCAGGGTTTTTGTGAAAATTAGATATAATGTACTTAAAGCTTTAACGGCACATATTTAGAAGGTCCTCTCTAAATTTTATTACTACTCCAGTGTCTTTCCACGTTGCCTTCTTCACTCAAAGGGACTTGGCCTTGACCCTTTGTAGATCATCTATGACTCCCTCACTGCTTAGAGCCATAATTCCACCAGCCAGGTTATTCTTCTCACCTCTATGTATTTTTCTTCTATCTGGGGGCTCTTCTTCAGAATCCTTTCCTCTCTAGCAACCATCTTCAATGTTTACGCTCACAATAACCTTAATATCTAGCATTATGTGACTAATAGGTGCCCAAGAGACAGATTTTCATGTCTGCTTTATGTAAAAACCAACAAATGTTCTTGAGCACTACTTACCCCAGACAAAGATCTTCTTGGCAGGTTCAACACACCTCGAGACCCCTCGAGACCAGCAACAGTGCTAAGGGTAAAGAAGGCAGGGAGGGACAGGAAGTTTGGACTGAATTCAAAGACTCTCAGCAAGAACTGATACAATTTCAGGCAACTGAGAATTTTAAGCAAAGCACTTAAGCAAAGTATACAAACAACTTCATGATGTATCACTAAAGTGGATAAAACAGAGTTCTGAAAAAGCTGTTACAGGTGACAAACTTTGTACAATTTTGGAAGATAAAGTATTCATGATATAACTACTATTCTACAAATCTTAACCTTTGTTATATCAGGAATGCAGAAAGGAATAAGGGCTACAAAACGAAAGGATTCTGAACTTAGATTCTGAAAACAATTTAATATAGCTTTAGATTATCTCCTAGATTAACTGTAAAATTTTTACTCTTTTTTTTGAGGAAGATCAGCCCTGAGCTAACATCCATGCTAATCCTCCTCTTTTTGCTGAGGCAGACCGGCTCTGAGCTAACATCCACTGCCAATCCTCCTCCTTTTTTTCCCCCAAAGCCCCAGTAGATAGTTGTATGTCACAGTTGCACATCCTTCTAGTTGCTGTATGTGGGATGCGGCCTCAGCATGGCCAGAGAAGCGGTGCGTCGGTGTGCGCCCGGGATCCGAACCTGGGCCGCAGTAGTGGAACACGCGCACTTAACCACGGGGTCGGCCCTCCCTTTTTGTTTTGACAATTAAAAATTATGAAAGCTGGTAGTTTTGTCTTCTATTACTGGAATAATTTAGTTGACTTAATACTGCAGATGGTGTTAATATAATAAATATAGAACACCAGTGAGAACCTAAATTATCTCTCTTGAGACCTTCCTCATTCCAAGGGTGTGTGTGTGTAATCTATTATGCAAAGAAAAATGTCACATAAATCACCATGACATTATATAAACAGATTCCAGAGAAAACAGAAAAATGTGTTATCCATTAAGCTTCTCAGTACTAATTCTTGGAAGTAAGAACCTAGAGAATCTGTGTTAATGGGAGGAAATTATGCATTCATTGCAGTTAAGAACAATGGGCTTTGGAGTCAGAATTAGGCTTGAGCCTGTGACTTTTTTGCTGTTGCCTTGGGTAAGCTACCTAGTATCCCTGGCTTCAGTTTCTTCATCTGTAAAACGAAATAATACTATCTGATAGGGTTGTAGCAAGAACAAAACAAGATAATGCACGTAAAACCAGAGTGGTTAGCACGCAGAAAAAGCTGAATAATCACTAGCTATCATTACCATGCTTATTACTAATTATAATTTTCCAAGATACAGATCTATGATTATACTACATATATTTTTTCTATATACCCAGCTTGACAGAAGGCTTACATTTTTCCTTTAGCACTAGAAAAGTGGGTCCTAACGGAAGCTCTTATTTCATCCATTTTACAAACATAAATGATCTGTGCACACAGACCAATTCACATTTTAAGGATTTTCTTTGTATTTGTCACAAAGATTATCAATGCTTTTACATGAAAGAGCATCTGTATACATGTTTATTAAACTATTTAACAACGTTTACACACAATACATGTTCTGAAACCTCGAAGTTCTTTGATAACTGCAACATCATTTTCTTTGTTGCTGTTTAATATGGTTTTCAAATAAGCATGGTAGAAGCTTAAATATTACATCATTCAGATTGTTTTTTAAAGTGAATCCTCTCAGAGATCACTCCAACATAACTGTCCGTGAACTATCTGTGGCAAAACTGGGTTCCTGGTGACGCTTCAGCATATGGACGGTTCCTCTACTGCCTGGGCACCCTCTGTGACAGCTTTGACACATTTGGCCATTGTCTGGGAGGCTCTGCTAATTGGATCTGAAAGATATTAAGAAAATGTGCAATTGATATTACAACTTTCAAAAAGCACATAGTAAAACTTTTTTGTTGCACATATTCAGGAACAAAAAAAAGACTATACACTCTATGCAACTGTATGTAAATTTTGTGAGATCAACCAACAAATTCAAAAGATAAGCCCCTTATTAGTTAAATGCTTTTATTTTATTTTATTTTGCAGGGAAGGATTTGCCCTAAGCTAACATCTGTTGTCAATCTTCCCCTTACCCCTCTCCCCTCAAAGCCCCCATGCATGGTTGTATTCCTAGTTGTAAGTCCTTTTAGTTCTTCAATGTGAGCTGCTACCACAGCATAACAACTGACAGGTGGGTGGTGTGGTTCTGTGACTGGGAAACAAACCCAGGCCGCTGAAGCAGTGAGAGTGCCAAACTTTAATCACTAGACCGTCAGGGCTGGCTTGCTACATGCCTTTATTAAGTATTCCTCTGTTTGATTAAATAATTATATACAGCCATGCAATGTGCCAGTATTCAACCATTAAAAATATTATAGGCAAGTATTAAAGACACAGGGAAAAAATGTGCATACAAACTGTTATTGAAAAATAGGTTACAAAAGGGTATTTGTACTAAAATCCGTTGAAATGTACACTTTATGGGTGAGTTTTATGTTATGTGAACTATGTTTCAATAAAGCTGTCAAAAGAAAACCCTACAGTAAATGAATAATCTCATTTTTCATTTAAATAAATAATATATATATATATATCCCTGGATGATTGACAAAAATGTTAAAAATAAATGTAGTTAACTCTGGGTAGTGGGATCACAGTGATTCTTCCTTGCTCTTTTGGGCTTAGGTATGTATTCTACAATGAACATAACTTTTATAACATAACTAAAAAGCCTATTAAAGATAATCTTAGATACAAACTGTACCAAATATTTTAAAATCTACTCCTATCTGCTTTTAGATAGAAAACTATTTAAAATCCTCTGTCAACTACCTCATAACCTGGAAGTTATATCAAGTGTTGTAGGATCTGCAGGAAACAAGTTTCAGTTAGACTGCATTCCTTAAAAACATTCCTAACAATTCACATCAGAAGCACCGTTTAACATTTTCACATTTAAGTGTTTTGATTCTTCCACTATAATTCTCAGAAAAACCTTCACAGTTGTTTGTCACTTAGAAAAATTCTCTCTAAATTGCTACACAGAGTTTTTACATATAAGAGTAAAATTTTATATTTAAAATCTGTTAACTCTTTTTGGATTTTCAAATTCTCCTTACATTTCAGAAACAAAAGAGTAAAACCAGAAAATATGAATTACATTAGTTCTAATGTTTGAAAATCTTCAGAGATTAAAAATATCAAACACTACCACTAAGAGGCTGGAATCATAACGCTAAATTAGGTGATCTTACTCCTTGCCACCTTTCCCATGTGGCAGTCACGCTGACAACTGCATACCTGTCATGTAGAAGTCTTTTATCGTTAGCTGAGGTGGAACAAGCGGATCAGCAAGAAGTTGCTGGTTCACTAACTGCAAAAAAAGGAGTAAGAGATCAATAATAGCATTAAAACCAGTACTGCTACACCAGAGGATACGCTATTATGAAAACTGCACTCAGGCAAGTTTTTACCTTGGAGAGCTCATTTGCTTGCTGGAAATAATTAGCCCCTTCGACGTCATCATATCGAACAAGATTAGGAGAGACTTCTTCCAATCTGTTCCTTACTTGATCCAGAGTATCGTATGGAAGAGTTATACCTGCAATCTATAACATATCAGGTCCCAAAAATTGACATAAAGCTTTAATACTTAAAAATTTCAAATAATATATAATTGCAACTACAGTGAAATAATACAGTAGTACTGAAAAATCTATTGGTGCCTATTAGCATGTATACTAAGCAAGTGGTTTCTATTAATTCATAAACAGCTGTCAGTACATTAGTATCTTTAGAAAATATGCTGATTATGAAATAAATGATTAAAGAGATAATGCTTTGCTAAATATGAATGCTTCTGCTAACCTATTACTGATCATATACAAAGGTTACAGACCAGACAACTGTATATTATTATTTTAAATTTCATGATGCTTTTTACAGTAAAGAGAGTGAAAAGAGTGTTTTTGGGCAAAAGACAAGACAAAAGTAAAAATACTAATTTCAAATCCCCATTTTCTGAACATATTTTTCCTGCAGAGATTATTCAAATCATCTCTACATTTCAGACTTGCATCTTCCTTGACTTGGAAAATCATCCTGACAAGCTCGCACGTCAAACTTCTGGCCAGCAGCACCACTAGGCATACCTCAGAGAGGGCTCTGATAATTTTCCAGTCTTCTCTTGCCAAGCCGGGAGGCGTCACAGCTACTTTAGTCTGCTGAGCTCGGCCCTCAGTATTGACATAAGTAGCAGACTTCTCTGTGTAGGCAGCGCCTGGCAGAATAACGTCAGCTACAGGAGCTCCAACATCACCGTGATGTCCTGTGAAAAGATAGAAAACAGCAAACGACGTTTTATTAACAAACTGATTAGGTATTACACACGAATACAGTATACATTCTTTTTAAATCTCATTTTTTAAATTACAAAAGTGTTTTAAAAATTAAAACGATATAGTACTGAAGTATTTGCAATAAAAATTAAAGCCCGCTTTGCCCACAATTCAACTCTCTTCCCAAGGAAAATTACTCAACGCATTTGGTATATTTTCCCAGATTATTTTTTGCAAATATGCAAATATGTATAATATCATACACATATATAATGAGCAACTAGATATATTATTTCTCTTGATGACTACAAAGTGGAAATGCTCAGATGTATGTTAGTGAAATTTGATAAAGTAGACTGAAACACTGGAGGAACGAAAAGTGTACAACAGCAATATGACAAATAATACTGAAGAGGGCATAAACAGAAAATTATGGAAAAGAATATACTGAAAGACATCATTCATTAACAGGTTAACAAAACTATCAGAAGAAAAGAGAAACAAGTTAAATGAAAGAAAGCTGTAGAACAATAAAGTTTGATCTCATTTGTGTACATGTTTGTATATGCACGGGAAAATGTATGAAGCAGGCATATCAATACTGTCATCAATGATCATCTCTGGATAGGACTGGGGACAGGATTTTAGTCATGCATTTTGGTTTAACTTTATCAAACTAAAGACAGGAAATATTACATAATGCTTTTTATGTGCTAAGGCAATAAAAAGCTTATTATAAATTTATAGTGTTTACATGTAAAATGAAGTGGAAAGTTATGTAATATTTTTCTCTGTAAAATACCCAGGATTACTCTGAATTCCATTTATTCCTGAGAAACTTGATTATATTTACAGTGAATGAGAGTTCAAGAAAAGGAGTCAAATGCAAAAACCAAAAGAGCACTGTTAAGTATAATTCATTAAATGTCCTGTAACACAGGACTCATGATTTTTTAACTTTTCACACTGTTATAAAAGTGCTTTCCTGATTATATAATAACCCTAAATATTCTTTGAAAAGCTGAATTTTAATGTTACATAAATAAACCATAATTTAACCATTCCTGTTTCTGCAGGCATTTAGGTTTCTTCTTTTTTTTTTTTTTGTGAGGAAGATCAGCCCTGAGCTAACATCTGTACCCATCTTCCTCTACTTTATATGGGACGCTGCCAAAGCACGGCATGACAAGCAGTGCGTTGGTGCGTGCCCAGGATCCGAGCCCACAAACCCCGGGCCACCAAAGCGGAGTGTGCGCACCGAACCGCTTGCGCCACCAGGCCAGCCCCTAGGTTTCTTCTAATTCTTTGTTGTTAAATAACATAAAGTAATAATTCTTAATAGCAATAGCAACTATGTAACAAATAAAACCTATCATTTGATTTAAAAAAATACTGGGCTGTGTGGGAAATTCCTGAATGGAAAATATTCAATCCACTAAATATATTGCTGTACTGCTTCTAATACACACAACGTACTATTCTCTTCTTGTTTCTGGTATCACAGATGCTACTTACCTTGATAAATAATGAAGCAATCCTTTGGCAAATCCTGTCGAGTGATACAACCTCCATCTGCTCCCAGGAGAAACAGCACTTTGGGAGGGTTCTTCCGAATTGCTTCTACCCCAGGTTTATAGCCAAGGTCTAAAGCAGCTACTTGGCTTGCAATCCTTTAAAACAATTACAGAGTTTTAGCATACCTGTAGTGTTTTCATCATAAAAAAATCACACATGGTAAAAAAAAATAACACATGATAACCCAAACACAGTCATTAAGAGAAAAATCAGATCATTTTGAAAACCAAAAGGGAGAAATCTAAACACTCAGAAAACTGTAACTCAGAGAAAACTATAATTAGTACATTGGTGTAGGTCCTTACAGAATTTTTTCTATGAATATATATTATTCTTATAAGCAGAAAATAATCTTTAAAAGAAGAGGTCTGGAATAACCATACTTTGAATAATTGGGAGTCTTTGGTCTACTCTATTGTTAACTTTCTACAAATAGTAGCCCTTCTGAGGACCTACTGTGCATAAAACTAGCTGGTCTTTTACCTACTAAAGGAGGAGGGCACGTCAAACCAACTCCCATTAGATGCTGCTGCTCTGTTAAACTCTCTGATGGGACAATATTGAAAGAATAAAATAGAAAACATTTAAAAGAAGCACAAGATTTGTATAATGAAAACTACAAAATAACTGAAAGAAATTAAAGACCCTAATAAATGGAAAGACATCCTATGTACATGGATTGGAAGACAATATTGTTAAGATGGTAGTACTCCCCAAATTATCTATGGATTCAATACAATCCCTATCAAAATTCATAGCTGAATTCTTCGCAAAAACGACAAGCTGATCCCAAAATTCATATGGAATGCAAAGGACCTAGAATAGCCAAACCTATCTTAAAAATGAACAAAGTGGAAGGATGCATACGTCCCAATTTCAAAACTTAGCTCCTTCCTCCCCACCACCTACACAGGGTTTTTTTTCCTTATTTTTCCTTATTCTAGGCTTTGAGGTCTCTCTCTCTCAAAGATCCAGGCAGAGACTCACACTAATTTATCAAAGAGCCCACCTCATCTTGGAAAACAAACTGAGTAAGCCTAAGTTTGCCTCTGCAAAAATGACAGGTAAACAAAAAAACTACAGGGCTGATGAAAAGATTCTCCAAGAATTAGAAAATGTGCTTTACTCTGGAACAGACTTACTATAAGAAATAAAAAGTTTATGGGCTGGCCCCGTGGCTTAGCGGTTAAGTGCGCGCGCTCTGCTACTGGCGGCCCGGGTTCGGATCCCGGGCGCGCACCAACGCACCGCTTCTCCAGCCATGCTGAGGCTGCGTCCCACATACAGCAACTAGAAGGATGTGCAACTGTGACATACAACTATCTACTGGGGCTTTGGGGAAAAAAAGGGGGAGGAT